AAAAGTAAAAAAAACACTTCCTCCCTGGTACACAATCCCCCACCCACCCTTCCCACCACCCCAAGTACATTCCACTGTGCAACCTTAATTGTGGTCTCTTGTGATAACCATAATACCCTATCATACATCGCCTTTAAATTATTCTCTCCTTCATCTGTTTCAGTGCAGTATACACAATTTATCCAGTTTTTCTCAGTCTTACCCCAACCCTGGTATCAGTCTAAATGACATTCTTAAGTAACCATCCTACAATAATGAAAATCAGATGGTGATCCATTATTACTGTCTAATCTACAAGATTCACTTAGATTTTGTCAGTTGTCTCTTTGAGATTGTATTTAGTTATGTTTTACAAAATCCCCTTTAATCTTGGATACTTCCTTGATTCTTTTCTTTTGCTCCCTTGTTTATTTTCTTTCTTCAGCTCAGACCTTTTGAGCAGACCAGTTATTTTGTAGAATCTCTCTCAAGTTGGGTGTGTCTCTTTCTCATGATTAGATTCAGGTTTGGGAAGAATACCAGAGACATGATGTGTCCTTTTCTTTGCGTGATATCAAGAGGCACGTGGTGTTGGCTGACTTCATTACTGATAATATTAAGTTTGATTATCACCTTCTAATTGAAAGCAACAAAAGCCAGTGAAGCAGTTCTGGTGGTGCAGTCTGGAGGTGTTCCACCACTAAAGCAGGGCTGCAGGTCTCCAGTGGTTTGAATCCACTAGCGGCTCAGAGGGAAAAAGATGGGAAGTCTCCTCTCTGATACTACTTACCATCTTAGAAATCCGATGGCGAGTCTTTTTGAATCCACATAGATTTTACAGCAGTGTGTTTGAGGTTTTATAAACCAGTTGCCTTTGACTTCCATTTATGGTCTCAGAGAAGAATGCTTATGCTCCTTCCAGTTTTCAGTGGTTGATTCTTTGGAGGTGGATGGCCAACCTCTTCATTTAAAGTACCTCAGAGTGGGCTCAGCTCTCATCCTTTCAGTTAGCAGCCGAATATGTTGACAGTTTATGTCACCCAGGAACTCCTACATAATACTAGTAATGGATAATACTGGTATTGATTGATGCTACTGACTTATAAAACCAAAAACCAAACTCAAACCCCCTTCTGTTGAGTCTGTTCTAACTCAGGACAGCTTTCATTTGAAATTCTAAGACCATGAGGAGATGCCCTCATCTTTCTCCCGTGGGATGACTAGCAGCTTCAGATGTCTGACGTGTGTGTTAGCAGGCCAATACCACCCTTTTATGCCATTCTCATCTCTAACTACTATTATAGTAATAATGCAGCTAAGTTTGCAGAAGGTGTGGGTACATGATTATAACTAGGCCAATAAGCTCTGGAGTCTTCTTATCTATAGCCTTGGGTGTTTGTTTGTTTTTTCCCCCAACCAAGAAATCTAAGCCAAGTTTCCAAAATAATTGTCTGACTTAATGAGTTAATATTATTCTTGGAAACCTCTCATTAATATTTTTCTAAATTCTTGCCAGCCACAGATATTTTGCTCAAGAAGGATGCTATCATTATGCTAAGTGAACTAATTCCATAAGGACAAATACTGTATGAGATCATTATTGTAGA